GCGGCTCAATCTCCAGTGTGGGGTATGCAGGAGGCAGCCAATCAATGATTCTCTCTCATCATTGATGTTTCCATCTCGCTCTCCCTCTCCCTTCCTCTTTGAAATCAATAAAAATATACTAAATAAATAAAGTAGCTAAATTCTGAACACACAGTGATGGCACAGATTTATTACATGCTGAGTCAAGTGCAGAGCATTATGTGTGTTTTGTTTCCCTTTGCACACTTTGCTATACCACTGAGAATCCTCTTGTCTGTGCAAATCAGAGGAAAGCTTTTAAATAGAGGAACTGAGCATGATTCAGCATATTTAAAAAGGATTTATACCCATTCTTAGAAGGACAACCAGAGGAAACACCATCTGAGGTCTAAACAATGATATCTGCTTGCCCTTTGATCTGCATTTAAGGACACTTAGTACAACTTTTTTGTTGAAATACCACTGAATTTCACCATTTACTATTTTAAATCTCTTTAGGAGAAAATTTGCTTTTTTGAACCACACTCTCCGAACTATTTTTGCTGTGAGTAGTTTGCAGGCATGGGTTCATTTGCTGCTAACAAAAAATCTTCCTTCATAAGTACAGGCAGCTTAAATGAAAAATAATTCCACTGATACTATGGTTATGAGAAAAAGACAGTACAATGTATCTGGTTACACATACAAGTGGGGAGTATTCCCATTTTTCTTCTAATTTATGTTTCCCAAGAGTAATATTGTCAGAAGATTGCCAGTATTTTTAGAATAAGTTTCTTATTACTTGTACTAATACATACTGATTCCCTTTTCTGAGCATAATTTGAGTTATTTCAATTTATCCTAGCATCTGGAGATCAGCATCTCATTAATTCAAAATAAATAAATGAAATCTGAAATGCAGATTTAAAGAAACCTTTGCACTGGTCTCAAATGTAATGCATATTACAAATTAATAATACATATGGGTAACTAATACAAAAGAGGTCTATTAATAAACCATTATGATATACATCAAATACCAAGAAACCGCAATATCCTAAATGCCTTCACTTACTTGCAGGTATAGCATTCTAAATGATCACCCAGATTAGTGAAATACACATTTTAAATGGGAAATATGCCCATGTTTTCATCAATTCAGTTTTTATAAAGCATCTCTCATGTGCTCGGCGTTATGTTAGGAACTTAAGTTACGATAGTAGATAAGCCTGGTTGCCTTTTGAGGCTGATATCCTCCAGGGATGATAAATAAATGACTAAGCAAATTTAAAAAGACAAAAATATACTCCTTGTGATAAGTGCAACCAAGGAAATAAACAAGGTGATGGTAAAGAAGGGGGGGGGGGAGCGCGGGCAGCACTGATTTCTATGGAGTAGTTAGAGAAGGCTTCTCTCAGAAGGTGAATTTTAAGCTAAGACCTGAGGATATTTCAGGATACTTCTCCAAGGTCACCAAATTGGCAGGCTTGTTCATTAGGCTGCCAAGACATTTTTAGAATTAGAAAACAAGTAGAAAATGCCATCTGTGGCCCTGATTGAATGCAGGTTCACGAGTACACCGGTTTCGCTGGCACACTCTGCACACCAGCCAGCTACCATTTAGGTTACACACCCCAGCCTACTCAGCAGGAGTGGGTTTAAAACAGTCGGTATAAACAACAGGAGCTGGTCCAATGACTAGAGGAACTTATCCTGTTGATTCATACTTCCTGATAGCCACTCTAGCTAACAAGGATCAGGGTTTTCAAATGTGTCTCATGAGTAAATAATTCCTCGGCCTCAAGGGAAAATGATGTTTACAACTATATAAACTTTCCCTTATAACTTATCTAACTCAGTGCGTATAAGAGTACTTTAAAACACGGAGCTGTGACATGGATTTTTCTGTAGGTTCTTTAATAGACTAATCATGTAATGCGGCTAACAGGCCATTGACACAGATTAGGAAATCTGTGGAATTCTCCCAGCATCCTTAGAGAATCCACATTGCTAAGCAATTATTTTCTTCAACAGAACTGTCCTGCTCAGAGCCATTTTAGCCTCTCATTATGAAATCCCCATTCTTACTGCTAAATGGATTAAGATGAAATAGAATTGTTTGACTGGCAGGGGCATGGCTTTGTGACTTGAATTCCACTTATCTGGAGAGGGTTTTCTCCTCTAAGCACACAGTAGTCCAGATCTGGACCTGTGATTGGAGTTACAACTTGCAGTCAGAAAGCCCAGGGGTTTGATAGGAGGGGCCTGGGGCAAAGTTCAATACCTAGGAGTCTCTTTCAGTTCTGTATCAGCTGGGGTGGCGGTGGAGGGTGAAATTAACACTAGCATTGATGCATTCTCTTGGAATTTTAACTTTTTCAGTGTTTTTTTTTTTTAATCTTTAGCACTCCTTTATGAAAAATGAAAGCATCCCTAAGGAGATATTGTGTTAAACCATCACTTTTGCAGTATTAGTTGGCAACCAAGGTCCAGCAGTGTGACTCAGAAGCAATGTGTACCTGTAGACCAGGAAAGGTCAGCAAAGCAAGGGAGGAGAATTTCAGAGGTCATTAACGCAGTGGGTGTCATCACACTTTACAGACTTGCCTCAGGCCAACTCTCACAATTTCAAACACCATCTAAGAGGCTGTGGCTCCCAAACATTGGCATCACCTGGGGATCTTTAAAAATGCTAATAAATACCCGGCTTCCACCACACGCATTCAGATTTAATTGGCATGAGTCCCTCCTGGGCATCTGGATTTTTGAGGTGTAGCAAATTTGGGAGCTACTAACCTAAGGAAGCACTGCTCTTAATGGCTTACTGGGATGATTTATTGAGTTCCTTCAGACATCAGAAATCTCCTAGGCTAGTGCTTGTTGACCATGGTAGCACATTAGAAAAGTCTAAGGTACTTAAAAAAGAAGGAAGGAAGGAAGGAAGGAAGGAAGGAAGGAAGGAAGGAAGGAAGGAAGGAAGGAAGGAAGGAAGGAAGGAAGGAAGGAAGGAAGGAAGGAAGGAAGGAAGGAAGAAAGAAAGAAAGAAAGAAAGAAAGAAAGAAAGAAAGAAAGAAAGAAAGAAAGAAAGGAAAGAAAGGAAAGAAAGGAAAGAAAGGAAAGAAAGGAAAGAAAAAGAATGACACCAGAGACCACCCTCAAAGACTCTGGCTTCATTGCTCAGAGGAGGAGCCCCAGACGCCTTAGTTCTGTAAGGGTCCTCGGGTGATGCTAATGGCAGCCAAAATTGACAATCATGGTCCAAGCCCAGGAACTGTTTTCCTGGAGACTACAATGTGATTCTCTGCTTCCACTTGGTCCAGATTGGGACGATCCACAGAGGAAATAAAACATTTCCCCAAGGCTGTCCGGGAAACTTATGTGTGTGGAGGGGCGGGGGGGGGGGGGGGGGCGGTGAGGGAGAAGACAAGTGGTGGACTTTTACTAAGCCAGAAGAAACAGAGTTGTTAGAATAAGGAATAGCGCTTGTCCTCCGCATCCCCTCCCGAAACTTGATGGACTGGAGGGAGAATTTCCTTAGAATGCTTCCTGGAAGTAGCTCAAACTTGGATTCGGTTCCAATAAATTGTGAAAATTCTTGTCCAATCAGAGCCCCTGGCACTGCAAGTAGCAAGATTGGCAGGCCCCAAGCCTCACTCCCTGAGAGATTCTGTTTCACGAATTTCCCAGGAGGATTTCTGCACCACTCAGATGCCAGTCATTCTGCTTCACTTCTCCCCTCCCCCTTCGCCCGCATTCCTCCCTTCTTCCCCCAAAACTCAGCGGAGTTAAGAATCACCCCATACATGTACTTGTAAACAAATCGCCAAAATATTTTGCATGGGAGTCATCCAAGTAACTAATGCCCTTAGATGACGGACCCAGGTTTTGGACGTGGCTTGGCGACGTGCCTGCCACTTTGGCGAGTAAGTGTCTGCTAACCCGTTCGGAGTCCTGCGCCCCGCAGGAAGGGAAGTCAGCAGAGACGCACCTCCCAGGCTGCGGAACCCACCGCCCAGGCCGCCACACCCACCCCGGGCGCGGCTCCTGCACCCCAGGTTCTCCCCGCGGGGAACGCGCGCCCACACTCCCTCTGTGCGCCCTAAGGGAAGTCAGCTTCTGGATGAAGAGGAGCACAGACTGAAGGCACTGACGGGGGGTGGGGCGGGGGGGGAGGGGTTACCCAGTTCCCCTTCACAGATGGGAAACCTGGGGTTGGGGTGAGAGGAGGCTCCGCAGCTCCGTCGGGGTTTGCCACAGAGCATTTGCGGCGCAGCTCGATTTAGCCGCCCTTAAATTTCCATTCTGTTGCCTGGCAACCGGCTCAGACCAGCTCAGCCCGGCCCCGGCTCCGGCCCCGGCCCTGGCCCCGCACCCTTTCCCTGCCCGGGGACTGGAAGTTCGCCCTCGGGCACTGGCCGGAGGCGTGTGAGACAGGTGCCTGGGCTGGCTTCCCCCTCGGGGCTCGGGAGCCAGCCCCAAACCAGGCCAGCCCCGCGGGCGGGGCTGGCGCGCCCTCCGAGGTCCCTTAGGCACCCTCCTCGGCCACCCTCCGCCCCCAGCTCCGTGGATGCCACTCTGCACAGTCATGTCAAGTTCCCAAATTTCTCAGCCGCTGCCGGATTCCCTAAAAGTCCCGGTGGGAAAATTAGCACTTAGCGCGCTAAGGGTGCAAATAATAGTAGTAGTAGTAGTAGTAGTAGTAGTAGTAGTAATAGTAATTGAAGGGGAAAGTGTTGGAGAGCCTTCTCCTTCCCAGCTGGTTACACTGCCACAGTCTAGTTAACTTGGCCCGAGCGGGGCTCTCTTGGGGAAAGAAAGCTCGGAGCGAGCTCCGGGCGCCCGCAAAGCCGCGCTGCGGGAAGCCGCCACGCTGGGCCCGCAGGTGCCCCCGGGCCACGCAGGTGGCGGAGCGAAGCCGCCCGTCCCTGGTCCCCGCCTCGCCAGCCCGGACCCTGCCCCGAGGGCCCCTCCCCCATCTGCCCCGCACCGCCCCAGCCCGGGACCCTGGGAGGAGGTTTCCACACGCCGCCCCGGCTCCTTACCCAGGTTCACAAAGCTCATGACCATGTCCGCGTCGCTGAGGAAGGCGCTGTCCTGCGCGGTGGCCAGCGGGGACGCGCCGCCGCCGGGTCCCGGGGCCAGGAGGCTCTTGCGGGGGACGGGGTGCGCGGCGCCGGGGGGCGGCGGCCCGGGCTGGGGCGCGCCGGCTCCTCTCCGGGGCCAGGGCTGCCGCCGCTCCGCGCCCGACGGCCAGTCCTCGTCCTCGCCGTCGGACAGGGCGTTGTACAGGTCCAGCATGAAGAGGGGCGCGGACTTCAGTCGCCCGGGCGGGGGCTCCCCGCGAGGCTGCTGCTGCGCGAGCGCAGGCGGCGGCGGCTGCTGGAGGCCGTGCACGGGCCGGGGCCGGTGAGGGAGCCCCAGCACCGACAGGATTTCCTTCTGCATCTCCCGCTTCTCCTGCGTCTTGAGCCGGCGGTAGAGGAAGCCCGAGGAGGAGGAGGCGGGCGGCGGCGGCGGCGGCTCCGCGTGGCCCGGGCTCCCGCCGGCCCCCAGCAGCGCACCCCCACCGGTGGCCAGCGCCGGGGGCCCGCAGCAGCTGCACAGCAGCCCCCACCACCAGCACAGCCACTGCGCCCTCCGTCCCAACCCCGGCATCCCTGCCCGGCCGGGCTGGCCTCGTGGGCCCCGCGAGGCGTGGAGCGGCGGAGCGAGGCCGGAGCGCGGCCGCGATGGCCCTTGGCGTGGACAGCCCCCGCCACCTCTCGGCGGGCTCGCTTCCCCTTCCTGGCCCTCAGTCCTTATCTCTCATGGTCCGCTGGGGCGCCCCCGATGGCCCAGGATGCAGGGGAGGCCAGGGGGGCCGGGGAACCGCACTCCCGCGCTAGCCTCCAGAAACGCAAGGTCCAGGCCAGGTGCGTCCCGTTGAGTCCAAGTGGCTTTGCAGCCGGCGCCCCGGACCCCAGGCAGGTCCCCGCGGGGTCGCTCCCCGCCTCGCTGGCCGCGCACGTGCGCTATCCCGCGCCCCCTGGGTGGCCGAGAGGGACCCGGAGCGGCGGGGGAGAGGGACCGCTCACCAGCTCGGGGGACTGCCAGGCAGCATCCCCGCGCACGCTGCCCGGGCTCGCTCAGCCGCTGTGAAGTTTACCCGGCTGAAGGGCCCGGGCTGTGGCGACCAGGAGTCCGGGGATGCCAATCTTCTCCGCGACGCCGAACTCCCTTCTCGCTCACAAACTCCTCGCCCCTCCGCCCTTGGGCACTGTCGCTTCCCCTCAAAATCTCCGAGAGCTGCTGCTCGACTCGCCAAGGGGGGGCATCAAGGATCTTCCTTTCCGTTCAGTGTTCTCCCGGCTGCCCTGCCAAACCCTCTCACAGAAGGGACAGGAGGGAAGGGGGCCGATGCACGGAGCAGGGGACGCGGCGTCCGCCACGCGATTCGCAGCCTCTCGCCTCTCGGCGCCGCGCGCTCCGCAGCAGCCAACGTGGGCTCTCTGGTGCGCCCTCGCTCAGGTACCGCACTCCGGCCCCGGGACTCCCCGCCCTCCCGGGGAACGGGCAGGCGGGCAGCCAATGGAGAGGCCCGTCTCTCCAGTATTTGCGTAGGCCCGCCCCCTTCTTTCACCCTCCCTCTCCCCCGAGGCGTCGCCTGGGCGGCGCGTAGGTTCCAAATACACAGACAATTCTTAGAGGCACCCGGGGAGTCCCGAGGTAGCAAAGGCACAGGGCGTCATCACCGGTCTGAGTGATCTGATCAGCACTCCAATGTGAATCACACAAAGCGCCTCAACTGATTCTTTAACCGAGTAAAAAGTACCGTTAAAATCAGCTGCTAAGTCAATGTTGGTTTGAGGAAGAACAGAAAAGTGATAGTTTTCCCATTCCTTTCTGAGTTTCTCATATTGATGTATAATATAGGCGTCCAGTGGACACGTGGCTTTCAAAGGCAGCTGCTGCAAGTCAGGACACACCCTTCCAGAAGCAGCTCACAAACTGGCCGTGGAGCAGGCCAAATGCAAGCCAGACCCAGCGTCTGGAAGGTTGAGGGCCAAATATTTTGACTTATCTCTTCATTTGGATTTTGGCTTGGCTTCTTAAGCTAGCACCCAAAAGGAAGAGAGAGACTGTGACCAGATAAAATAATTAAAATGCCTCCCGCTTGCTTCTTGAAAATGTTTCAATGCTTCTTTGGTTTGTTTGTTAACATTGCATTTTAAAATAGATACAAGACACATTATGTAAGCTAATTCCAGTTCCCACTCTGGACAGTAGATAGAGCTCTGTAACTCAGATTGAGCGTTAGACAAGATCAAATGTTCCACTTTCATGGCAGGTACCACCATCTGTCTTTCAGGATGTAAATTTATTTGTACTTATACTACCCAAGAATGCTCAGTAACCTATAGATCCTAGCAAATTCACTTAAAACATTAGGCTCTTTTACCTGGTGAAACATGTGTGGATTAAAAAACAAAAACTGCCATTTGCTGGACCTAGCAGCCTTAGTTCAATAGTCCAAGCTTTTGAGAGCTGGAATATGGGATTTGTGGACTTAATAAGATCCTGGGGTTTCTGTTGATCAGAGCTTATAAGCATTTTTATCTTATTTCAATGAATCAGTTTTACCTCCCACCATCCAGTCGTCCATTGGCTCACCCTTTCTCCTTCTGTCTTGGCCCAGACACAGTGGTCATTTAGGACAGGCTTTAATTCTACAGATGTCCCATAGCCATTGGCCTCGGGCAAGACAATTTCAACAGCACGGGAGGCCAGTTTTTAACCATCTGCAGGGATTCTTTTCATCTGAAAAGAGAAGACATCACTACTTGGTCTGGAATGCCAGGACTTGTAGAATTCAAGAGCCTACATCACATCTCTGACTGCATGGGACTTATTACGAGCATAAAATTATTGCAGTGCATAAAATCACAGTAGCAAGATTTCTGATCAGAAGGTCTAAAATCTCTAGGTATATGTAGGCTTCCTGCCAAGATCCTCTTTTCTCAAACTTAGTCACATCTTCTTTTTAAAACTTCTAGTGAGACGCAAGCAGAGTAAAAGTAGCTCCAACCTATAAGGGCAGTGGGGAAAGCACTAGAAAAACTGTAAATGCCTGATCATTTAGGTAGGGTTATGCAGTTTAAAACACACCTACATGCACCTTTGGTAAAACACACACACACACACACACACACACACACACACACACACACACACACAGAGTTTTCCCATTTTCTTAGATACTTGGTAAGAGGTAGATGGGCCTGTGTGACATGGGTCTAAAATGGCACTTAGTGATTTATTTTCAATTAAACATCTGAGCACCAACCCTGATTCAGGTCTTCCATAGACTCCCCTTCCCCACCAAGATGGTATCTCAGTTCTTGTATAAAGGATGTGGGCATGGGGCTGATGATGAACACAAGAGCACATAACTCTGCGAAGAGCCAGGACAAAAATGTGTGAAGTGAATTATGACAATGGACATATGGACGATGACATTCAACTGAAGGCCACAAAAGAGGGTGTGCTCTTCTCATGTTCCCACCACTCCCAGCAGGTGCCCATGACTGTCAGAAAACACTCAAAAATGCCCTTGGTTCCACTGGTGGCAAAGGGGATAAAGAGATGTGGTTCTAGAGTTTTACCTTGTTTCCCCGAAAATAAGACATCCTCCGAAAATAAGACTTACTTACAGGTTTCCTTCTGAGTGAAATATAAGGCATCCTCCCAAAAATAAGGGCCCCCTAGGCTAAACATGAGAGATTTGGTCCACTGATTCTGAAAGAAATGGAGTCACAAGAAATTCACCAGGAAATTCAGGAATTGGATTGTTATGATGATGTTCCAGAAGATGATGACATGATTGTCATTGAAAAAATGAGTAAATTCTTGATATTGTAGGATTCGCAGTTTGTCTGGTTTGTGTTGACAACTACCGTACTACCGTACCGTATACAGGTAATAAATTTCCTTTATTTTCATTTAACAATAAATGTGTACCGTATTCTTCTTCATGGAAAAATAAGACACCCCCTGAAAATAAGACCTAGCTCATCTTTGGGAGCAAAAATTAATATAAGACACTGTCTTATTTTTGGGGAAATAGGGTAATAACCTCATAATGGGGACCACTGCTTTTCCAAGCCAATTGGAACTTCAGGTAGATAAGGAACCCCTAACCACCACTTCACACATGCCCTGCTTCTGTGACCCATTCCCATCACACACCTCACACTCCCCAAAAGTCTTAGGACAGAGAACTGGACACAGTCCAGCTGTGATTCAGAGAGAACAGGTCTGGCTCTGGAGTCTGCTGGAATGTGTGAACCAAACCAACTATAGAAAAATTAGAGGTAATTTCGCCCCCTGCAGGACACCAAAATATTGTCACCCCTTCCTCTGCGATGGACAAGCTTCATTAAGTTCTCTGTGCTTGTCTCCAAAACATCTGGGTGGAAAGAGGAGGAATTCAGTCAAGAAGCCGGATGTGGGACTCAATCCATATCACACATCTGGTTGCTTGGCTGATATTTCATGCAGATGGCCATCAGTTTTCTGGAAATATTGCCTGTCTCACTCCTGCCCCCTTAGCGAAAGAGTGAAGAACTCTCACTACAAAGCACAGGTTTTTCCCATGCCTTTGGTGAAAATAAGGGTTAGGGTGAGAATCCTATACCCAAATGTTCATTAGTGCACAGGGTAATTCACACACAAATTCTCTAAAGCAGCAGTTATCCTTGTTCCTTTTATATTATGAGGATTTCTGTTACACCTTTATAACACAGAGGACCAAATAATTTGTCTTCAAAAAATGCTGTTTATTAATTTGACATGTTAAATATTCTATATTTTTCTTTTAATTATGTTACTAGCAATAAACTGCATTGAATTCTCTGATTTTGTACTAAAACACATCTTGGCCCCTTTCAACAGAGTTCCCTTAAGATGTAAGGTAGCTGATTTTAGAATTATGTTAACATATAAGTGTTTTAGCAACTCGTATGCTGTTCTTGTGTCGAAAAAGCCTGAGGTCTGGTCGCCTCGAGTCCTTGGAAAACTCACTTAAAATGACTGCAGTTTATCTTTAATATTAATGTAAGGAGTTGGGTATTTCTTAATATTAATCTCTAAATATATTTTGCTCACATTTAAAAAATATCAATCTGGAGTGGAGTGAAAAGGAAATATGTTAAGCCAATGTTTGTAGAGTATGAGAAATGAAAATTTGAGAGTTAAATAAATATTGCTTCTGAAAGCTACACCTGTAAGACAGCCTTCAAAATATATGCCCCATCCAAAAGCCTGTGGTAACATTTACATTCACTCACACTTTCCTTCAACCATTCAAAAATGTTGGGCATTCACACTTCAAAATATCCTTCGAGCCATCATATTTTCCTACTCGTGAAGGACATCTGGTGGCAAAGTGAAAAACTAATACATAAACCTGTTTCCAGAGGTTTTTTCCACACTACAACCCACAGAGCAAATCTGTTACTGTTGTGTGCTTCCAACTGTTCACACAACTCAGATCTTTATCATCGAAGGAGTTCAGCTGTCTATTAAAATGGAGTCTTTCGAAACATCCAGATGATTGGTCTTTATATTTTTCATTGGATATTAGCATATGAGACTAAGTCTTTCTTTCTTTCTTTTTTTTACTGAGGAAAACAATGCTGACACATTTCCATGACCTGCTCTACTGTCCCTGAAGAGCTTTATTCCAATAGGTCACTGGGCCCTTAGCTACATTGGACAATACTTGAAGCTTCGTAGCCTGTGCTGGCCTGTAAACATCATTCTGTGGCCCCCTTTGTATCCTGTGTCCTGGACATGTCTCTTGTGTGTCAACTAAAAGGTTCCATGAAAATATGACATGATCATACTGCCAATCCTTAACTAGCAGAGCTATAGCAGCAGGGGGTGGTGAGCAGGGAAACCACACTGACTGGATAAACTTATGTTAAAATGAAAATCAAGGTCATCTTTTAAAGAGGAAGAAAAAGTCTGAGATGCTTATCAAAGGAAAGACAAATGTTGATACTAATTACCCAATATGCATTCATTTATTCAGCATCTGTTTGAATGCCTTCTGTGTGCCAGCCACTGTTCTATGTTTTGGGATACCAAAGAGTCAATGATCCCTGCTGTCTATTGCATAGATTCCAGAAAGAGGATATTGACAATAAACAAAATAACTAAGAAAATATATGGTGATAAGCAGAATATTATCTCCCATACTTTTTGCCCATGTGTTAAACACCTGTGAACATGTTGCATTACATGCCAAAAGGGACTTTGCAGCTGGAATTAAGCTTGCTAAACAGGCGACCTTGAAATAGGAAGACTATCCTGAATTGTCCCATTGTAATCACCAGGGTCCTTAAAATCAGAAGAGAAAAGCACATGAGCCATGGTAGCCTGCGAGGGACTCCACCTGCCTTTGCTGGCTTGGAAGGTATAGGGGCCACCAACCAGTGAATGCAGGCGATCTCTAGTAGCTGAGAGCACTCCTTAGTGGGTAGCCAGAAAGAAACCA